GTACCTTTTTTTATTGAATTGATATTTAAAATGAATGGCCCCAGTGGACACATTTTTTTTTTGTATGTGGCGTTCAATGTGTTAACACACTGTATCTTGAAAACGAAGGATTTGCGGACCCATGTTTATATGAACATTTCGTCTTAAAATTACTTGAAGAATCGTCTGTTAAATTTATGGTACATACTTAATTAACACCCTGTATAACAGGGAACAAGAATGTTGGAATGAGTATCATGAAAGATATGAAAAAGGCAAAAGTAATAAGTTCAAGAACCTGCAGTGTTTTCTGGAGAATTTCAAGAAATGGACGGCTCCCCAGAACAGCAAAAAGTGGGGGGTTGATAACCAACTCATTTCCTAGAATTTGAAAATTTTGATTCGAGACTGGCACTCGAAGAATGACATTCTTTCAGTGAGTTTGACGTATTATATGTTGCTGATATGCCAATCATTGTGTTCAGTGCCAACTCGTGCTAGGAATCGCACGTAAAAGGTGAAAATTTCATTAATCTTCAGCTTGCACTGCCTTTCATAGGCGGATAACAAAAAGTAAACGGACAAACCGTTTTTAAACCCATTTTCAATGGCGATGTGGGTAATTGATATACATTCACAATCAGCTAGCTATATTTAGTAATAATATAATGCACTTGGAATGAATTATGAAATATGGTATTGTTTTGCCACTATAACTGTGGGTTCATATAATCATGGAAAAAATATAAAATTTGCATTTCCATCAGGCGAATAGAGATTGTTGCAATAATCTAATATTAGTTTGATTAAAAGGTTGTCCGTTTTTTATGAGTACACTTTAAATTGTAATATCTCAGTGAAGACTTATCCAATTTAATTAAAATAAGCCCCATTCGTGAAAAGATTTAAGAATTCCGTTATGGCCCCGCCCACTAGATCTGCGTTCGTTAGAAGACAGTGCGAGTGAGTGAGAGAAAAGAGAGAGAGAAAGATTTCTCAAGTCTCTTCGTAGATTTGACAAGCTGTACTTTTGCCAACGTAACGCAAGTCGACGAAGGCCAATTTTGCCTGGTCCTGATTGGCGAAGGTTCTACCGGTGGTAAAGTTATTGTAGTGCTCAAAAATATGGTAGTCGGTTGGCGAGAGGTCTGGGCAGTATGGTGGATGAGGGAGAACTTCGACATTCAATTCGCTTAATTTTCAGGCGGCGATTTGTGAAATGTGCTGATGAGCGTTGTCGTGTAGCAGGATTGGACCTATTCTATTGGCCAATGCCGGCTGCTGCTGCCTCACTTCGAAACAATATCTCTAGCGATCAGTGTATACCACTACCCAGTAGAATAAATATTTATTGTGATGTGAAGCTACAGAAACACATGCCATTGAAACTCTTGAAACTACTTTATATACACAAAAAACTCATTTTTTATAGCAAACCTACGCCGCTTTTCACGTGGAGGGTAGCATCGTCATATTTCATATTACTTACACAAAATATCAGTGAGATATACACTAAATGTTCAACTTGAGTCACTCCGGCCATTGGCGAAAATCTCATGAGAATTCATTCCGTAGTTTCAGCCAGACAGACAGATTGCGGCTGGCAATTGTAATTTCAAGTCTTGGTCCAGAATTTTCAAATAGTGTTGTCTCGAGAATGACTAAATTTTTATAAATTTGCTAAAAACGGTACGTAAATATCCTATTTTCAAAACAAAATTCATAGTTCAAATAAGCAAAACTAAATTTGACCAGCATCAAATTTTGTATAAATATAATGAGTGTGTGCGTGCAGGTATTTAAAATTAGATACCCATCTATTTAGTAGTTGTTTATCAACCTTAATATTATTCAAAAGGTGACTACATTCCAATATATTTTCTATTTATGTGACCGCATTGAGGTAGGTTAGTTACCCTATTTTCTCATTTGTTTGATGAAAAAATAATAGCGTTCCTGTACCTGTACCCAATAAGGCGTTGAGAAATATTAAATCGAGAGGAATTTTCAAATTCTTTTTTTTTCGTATTTATTTATTTGGAGAATATCAAATGACAAAGTAAAAATATTGTCTTCGATTCAAAAATGGTGAATAGGTAGGTAGTAGGTATGTACACGTCCAAACTGAGTAGGTATCTGCTCCTGTAGAGTAGGGAGGGTGAGTGTAGACCCACAGCACTTAGGTCTCACGTGACCCATTGTACATCCTCCCGAGGAGTTGTCCTCCTACGTCATCGTCCATTCTGTCCTTTCCAGGAAGGTGGACAGGTAACTAGGAGACATCTCCTTTATATCGGCAGGTTTAGGCCAAGACTCGCCGAACATACACTCTCTTTGGCAACCTTGAGGTGTCTCACGGTGGCATCCGCGAAGGTTTTTGGAAGGTGCAGCGACATTACTGTCGTTGCGCGGCTTCTTCAACCTTCTTGGGGTTCCCTCCGTGGGGGTGCACAAGTGAGGGAGCTCTTCTGCAGGGCCTCCTCCCGGGTTGAGTGCCCTGAAGTGAAAGCTTCGCCCCACAACTAATTTGCGAGTTGCGAGGAAAACCTAATACTCCACTCCATCCACCCCCGCTCTCCGAGCGGTCCTCAACTTACTGATGGGCACTTCAGCAAGATTAACATCTGACCTCTTTTGGTCGAAAGTCAACCTTTAGATGCTTATACTTTCTTATCGGTTATTTGTTTAGTCATGACTATTCCTAACTGAATTTTTGCATGGGGGTCCCCAAAAACTAACCGACGGCTATTGTGTTTAGCGTCGAGCATTCCTCAGTGAATCTAAGGAAAAGTGAATCGCGGTCGAATTGTTCTACGTTGAACCTACCTGAAAGAGAGTATATCTGATTAATTTTATGCTTACCTGAGTCGCCTGACGGCGACTCCAACAGCAAGGGCACAGAAAGTGCCCTTGCTGTTGGAGATGGAGTGGGGGAGGGTGCACTTATAGTTGCTACCACTCCTGCCTCTTTCTGTCTCTTTCTCCTTTTGGCCTCGGCGCCGCAAATGCGCTTACGCCTTCCCTTTGTATTACACCACGAGGTGATCTGCCTCATTCCAAGCAGTAGATTGGGGTGGACATTTCTGTTCATCCCCAGCCTTAGATTGAGGTGAGCACTTCTGTCCAGCCTGGGATTGATTTTTGTTTTTGTTGTTTCTGTTTTTGTGTTTGTTTCATTCATGTGTCTTCCCACGAGTAGCAAGGGAAGAGTTGGTCACCTCTGGCAGAGCCCCGCATTACCAGAGGAAGGCTGATTACAATGAGGTTTAGCCCAGTTCCTCAAGGGGATCACCCTGCGGCCATTCAGCTGTCGATACGATTCCTTACACCTTAGCTTGGGTAGGCTGGTCCACGGTGGCATGTTTTGCAAAGGCTTTTGGGTAGTTTTAGTTCCCCTCACCCTACTTATTTCTGCCACTGACCAGGAGTCCGGCGACCCCGTCGTAAGGCCATATTGGCTTCCCGGACATGGCTTCCAGTCCCCTGGCCGTTCCCCTGGAGACGCGCCCGATAGGTAGCCCAACCCACGGGAAACTGAGTAGGTTTTATTCGACTCTCCTCTCCAGATGTAGGGTTATTGTGGAACTCATGTCCAAAATAATGTGATTATAATCCGCTTTCCGTTAACATAAGGAAATCACTTATTTGTCATATTATTGTGATCTGCTTTATAGAAAGATTTATCAACGACATTACATTGTGCATTATGTATGTAAGTGGGGTAAAACAGATATAGATACAGATAATTACAGCTTGCTCAATTGATGACATATTTATTTTGTGGAAATTCATATTAAATAATAATAATATCATTTATTGCCCAACAGGTAACACCCAATTACAGGACATAATTAAATACATCAGTACTGATAATAGATAAAATAAATTAACTAATCATGTTCATTCTTGACATGCTATATGAATATAACATAACAATGATATATAACTTCGAATAGAGAACAAAAGAAAGAAAACTAAAACAAAAGAAAAAACTGATAGTATAACTAATCATTGTGCTACTTTGTAAGAGGGGTTATAATAACTCTCACAACACAAAAAAAGAAAAAACAGTTTTGATATCACTTTAAGATTTCCATTTCAACTTTTTTTATATGATTGGCCGAGCAAGTATTAATATCGCAAAAACTCCATATTGAGTCGTAGTTTTCACACATATATTCGATTGGAGAATGCGATATTATGTTTGTTCGTGCTGCAGAGCAGTAAAATGTGAGATGAATACAGAATACAGAAAATAACTTGTCTAGCCTCTACTAAGATTTTTTTTGTTGAGGCTGTAGAAGGAAATATTTTGGGGTCTATAGGGTGACTAAAAAACGTGAAATATCAAAGTTGTGTGTTTTTTTTAATGAAGCAGCCTGTATTTCGTTACACTTTTGAGTAGGTCGGAAAAAAATAATATGATTTCATATAAGGTACTATGTACCTAACTATAATCATTCTCGAGTTATTGATTTTCTAATGAAAATGCTACCTACGATTGGAAACTGAATAACATAGAAATGCATAGAAATCATCTCTTCGAATTCTGACCAAGCATAAAAGAGGTTTTGGGCTATTGGTTTCGATAAAACCCGTTTCTCAATATTATACAGAATGTTTTGGTAGTTTTCCGGGTATTGCCGTTGTCTTCTTTGGTTACAATCTCCAAACGTTTCAACTTCAACCACGCCACTAAAGATGACAGCCGCAGTTGCAGTTGAAATTGTGTTGTATAAAATGCCTTGAAGCAATGGAGCATTCTCTATTATTATTACTCATTTTCAAGCCAATTATTAGTACTGTGTCAACTCAAATTGACTTTTGTATAATAAAAACGAGTAGTGTCAATTTTTTTTTGGGAATGAAAATAGCATCCAAATTATACACAAAATTAGTATGTCTTGAATGATTTTGCAAAACTCTTAATCTCTAGATTTGAACCAAATATATTTCTTTTGTTGAATGAACACTGAATCCATGTAGTACCTACTTTAATCGTTACTGATTTTTTTTTCTAGGATCCAGATTTTCTGAGCGACTGGAGTAGTCGCCCGGATCAGTTGCCCCCAAAGAACTGGAGTTTCCGTCCTCCGACAAGAGATCTGCTGAGTCTCCGCTATGCTCGTGTTGGTAATACAAATGTTTTTTCTCGTAAGGGCTTATGTACCTTGTTCTTAACCAACCTAATTTCTTTAATACTGGGAACCGGAATAGGACTTTGGCTGAGCAAACACGGTTTCTTTGTGCCAGCCATTAAAGTACGTTAATTGAGAGATCTTGTCAGTGTTCAAAGCCTATGAAAGTAGTTGTAAATTTCAGTATGGCTTATTTTCTAAATTGATCAAAAGAAATTAGGTATGATTTCATTTCATCTATTTGTATTCTGGACATTAGTTGAGAAAAATGTCGGGCAATCAAAAAAATTGTGAATTTTATTAATTATTTATTTTTATCGTGCAGCTTAATTTTGACTAATTATGAATTTTTTCTGTATTCATCACTTAGGATGTTCATTTGTTGCCAGTTATAATTGTAATGACATTTTAACGAATACCTACCCATTTTTGTTGAAGAAATGGGTTTGGTTACTACTCTGACTAATAGAATTAAAAGAAAACATTGTGTAACGTCCAATATTTGAAATAGACAGAAAGAGCTAGGTCAGAGTTGATTTATAGTTAACTATGATTATGACTCAATGTAAAATTTTGACCAAAAGGTGTTTTTGAAAAATTTCATTAATATTGACGAAATTGTTTCTTGTCTCAAAATTATGTTTGCTGTCCGCTGAAATATCAAGGNATATTACTAATGTTATGAAAGTTGCAGTACATTTCATGGTTTGAGGAAACTTTTCTGGTCTTGGAAAGTCTAATCATTATTGTTCTTTGAACTAATCAAATAACTTTATACAAATACTGATTTTTTTGCAGTAGAATTTTCAGCTTTTTATGCATTATTCTAAGACCCATTTCTAGTCTAGCTGTCGGTTATGGAAGATATTGAACTGCAGTATTTTTATATGACTAATATACACTGTAGAGAAAAGTTCTCATTGAGAATACTGTACTTTGAGAGATTTTTGAAAAAATTGTATTTGTTTGGTGAGCCAGAGGCGAGCAATAATGATTGAAAAGTTGTATAAATTATTATTCTAATTCGTTTTGTCGGTAGTAAATTGCATTATGAGGAGTTACAATTCGAGTTTTTTTATGAATTTTATTTGTCCTACCGACAAAATATATTTTGTTCTCCAAGTTTCCAGTTGAGTTGGAGTACGATTTTGGAAACCTATCCTTAGATTTAGAGTTAAATATTATGATATCCATGTTTTCAAGTAATCACAAATAAATTTTTTAATATTGATGTTTGTTTTTTCATTACCACCGATTTTTCAAATTTTAGATTGTGCCTGTGGATTTGAGAAAATGAAAGATATGCAAATTCCAAAGAATTTCATAGAAATTATAGAGTATTTCTGAGCCATCCTGAACTTTCTATTTCAAATGTAGATCTCTGTCTGTCTCTGTTTAAAATCTTCATAATTTATTGAGATTAAAGAGAACAAAATCCGGGATGGAAGGCCGAAGATGAATGGAACTGGTGTCACCAAATGTTTTGTCTGCTACTGCGGCAGACCTCATCAGTTGTATTTGTGTTGATTCGGAGGTCGAAGTTTATATGGAAGTCTGACTCAGCAACGACTGAGTCAGTCGTTGCTCAGATTTGATAACAGTGGAAGTGATCATTTCATTGGGCTAACATCAAAGACAAGTTGCTCTACTATGAGAGAAATAACAAATCATGGAGAAAACTGTAAATCAATTCATTCTTAAATATTTAGAATTTTTCATCGTCATAGTGATTATCAAAATATCATGGATTACAATGAAAATTTCACACCAACAGTTTTCGACCAATGAAATGCGTTACCATGGCAACAAAAAGCTCTTTGACATTTCTGACTTTTTTAAGCACTACAGAAAAATCCTAAGGCCCTCTAATAGCGGTGCCTGTGCGAAAGTAGTGATTCACATTGGATTTGAATCGCTGGAGATTAAATTCATTTGGAAAAACATTTTCACTGAAACCTTTCTAACAAAAGCTTAAAAAAGAGTTATACCAATTGTAGTAGCTCAAAGGTGATGCAACATAAACTAATAAATTGTGCTAAATAACTCCAATCAGTAAAATTTGGAAGGAACACTGAAGCAGACCAGAACTGAATTTTAAAACATATCTGTTTACATTTGGTAAAATGAATACTAAGAATAACTTCAGATTTTTCTTGACCGAATCAACTCACACAATAAACTATGTTAACTGTCACAAAATTGGGCAATTTCAATTGAATTTTTTATTTTGATTCAGTTTGAAACATAATGATTGTACAAATCATATCCTCAAATAATTGATGTGGTCCTCAGAATTCGCAAATAGTGAAAGAGTTTTATCCAAACTTTTTCTTCAAATATGAAAATGTCAACAATTTGAACTCGATTTGACCGTGAATTTGAAGTTCCTCTAATCCTGTAAACACTAGCTCCACTCATGGTTATCTCATGAACATTCAGAAAATCCTGATTACAGCATCAATTAATTATTATTATCAATATAATACAATCGGCTTCAGACATCATGAATTATCAACGATTGTATCAAAAAATACTTTAAATTCGTATCTGCTGATCAATAATAAAAACATTCCCTGAATACATTAATTTTGATAATCGAAGTGCTTCTATCTCAGGTCTCTATAAATAATTGGCAGTAAGGGTTGTAGTAATGATCCATTTGTCCACCAGATACCGCCAGGGGAACGTTTTTCGCAGATCTAAAAATTCGGCATTTTCAATTTTGTGTTATGAAAAAATCAAAGTTTCATTTGTAATGTTGTTTACACAACCTTATCGGGAGAAATGTACTTGTCGAATTGAAAACATTAAAAAACTGAGAAACAGATTTCTCAGTTCTTTGATAGGAAAAAACAATCTCATAATATAGTTCATGAAGGTCCTCTGGCGTCTTATTCTCAAATAAGGTGAACAGTCAGAGAAAATTCGGATGTTTCTGTTTTATTTCAAAAACAAAAAGAGAGAGAGTTCACCTGATTTGAAAAGGTGGCCCTTGAAATATCAGTACCTAATTTGATTTGGTCTATCTTATTAAAAGAGTCCACATAGAAGAAACTCAATCATAGATGTCACTCACTCTCATATCATAACCCGTCATGTGTACGATACACGATTGTGTAAATGACGGAATATGTAGGTATCATTAACACAGACCATTCAAATTTTGTCAATAAGCTACTGTCTAACCTCTCCACAAAACATTGTTCAAACTTTACAGCTCTTAGTAAGAAATATTGAGAGCCTTGCAATTCTCGCGTTTGTACATTTTCATTCTGAATTCAATGAATAAGCATTAGCCGTATCTACTGCCATCTATTGACAAGTTGTACGTTATGCTGTAGTTTTAAACGCTGTAGTCCAAAATTACTAACAGATTGCCTCCGTTTTTGAAATATTTCAAATAATATGGATAGTCTTTGGTAATACTTATAAACCATGAGGTTTATAAGTTTTTTTTCTGAGCAACAGAAAAATGACTAATGACCACGAAACAACTGTAATCTCGCCTTTGGAAGAATTAATGGCAAATGACGAAGAACAATAACAAAAAAAATTATAATATTCGATGATTTTCCTCAACTTATTCAACATATGAATCCAAAATTTTTCAAGATTCCCAGTAATTTGATTGGAAGTTGCCGATTGTCATATTGAAGCAGAGTTAGAACATTTCAGTCAGTCTACTATTTGCTTCACATTTCATTATTCACTCTTATTATATTGAAATTTGACAATACCTATAAAATGTGTAAGTTTGTGATTTTTCCTTTTGAATCATTGCAAGTAGTAGGTGTTCCATTAATGAAAAATGGTGTACCTACCTATGTTAAAATAGCCCATTAAATATACGGGTTATTATCGAAAAAGCAATCTTATTGATTTCTGTTAAAATAAAAAATTGGTTATGTGATGGTTAGCTTAGTAATGAGATTCGTAATTTTCATAAACTGTATTGAATAAGCTATTCTTGTATAGAACTGAGTAAACTTGTTAAAATTGCTAACTTTCCAAAATACAAAGTATTATCGAATGTAATGTTATTACTTGTATTGGCATAATTGGTTTCACGCGATGCGTTGAAAACCCTAAAAATAGTTCATTGACCTAAACAGTATAGTCGTATAGTCAAGGACAATGTTTGGGATATCATGTGCAAGAAGTGAACCATGAATTTAATTTCATATTACCCGCGCAATTTTTTACTTTTGACGTCGTCTCCAACCAATTGAATGTATAGTGAGAGTGACGTTATCTCAGGGGCGTACGAAATAAATACAATTATCAGGCAATTATGAAATATTGAATTATTTTACAACACATGGATGTGTTTTCCCAACGTTTCTACACAATAGAATCTGGCAAATACCTGCAAAGAAACTGTTACTTCCTTGGCTGATATCCCGATATATATTCATTATATCCGACCGACCCTACTTGGACGTTGTTCACAAAATGGAGCATATATTATATTGTGTATCTTTTCTATGAATGATATCTGATTAAATTCCGTAACGAATTGAAATACAAAAGCTTAATGGATTTTTTTTTTGTATAATTCAATGTTCATATGAAAGTAGTTGCTTCGAAAGTGTTTTTTCTTTTGTATAATTCAATATTTTTATGGAAGTAGTTGTTTCGAGAAGGCTTTTTTTTCCAGTATGTAACTGAAAGTAACTTATATTCATGATCTACATTTCTTCATTGAGAGTTCATTTTGAACTCAATTGTTATCTTCTTTTCTTCGGAAGTTTCAAACAATTTTTTTGTGTAGAGATAGAGAAGTAGAAAGCCTAAAAACTGTTTTCCTATCAAGATATCTTCAAACATTAACTCTTCAAGACGAAAATGTGAGATGTTCGTTATATTTTTATTGATTCCTGCATAATATTTCATTTGTGAGGCAAATTCATATGTACCTGAAGACATTGTGAAAATTAATTATAATATTTATGACCAGTGTCATCGCCTTCTATTTTCGTTCGAACTTCAAACAATGGAGTTTAAACGTTATCAACAAATGAAGTTGCAGAAGATTGGCGAAAACTATGGCCGGCATACTTCTCAAGATTTGATAATTTTAAAAATGGAGTTTATTTATCGTTCTGATAGTTTAAAAACAGCAAATCATTAGTAACATGAGGTGAACGACTACTTATGTATTTTTTACATATTTCATAAATACTATCGGTAATTGTAAATTTTCGAGTAATTTTGTCTTAATATTGGGTACAACTAAAAAAGCTAATCCAAGACATTGTGAATCACAATTATTTTTGCCATACATCTTATTAGCCGTACCCATTATTCCCATTGATACTGACATCTTAAAAAATGAATACCTATTTATAATGTATGAAGTAAACCCTTAATCAGTATCTTACCTTTGTTACAAAGTGTCATCTGATGCTGTGGAAAAAATTCATTAATTTTTCCTCACGGGAAGATACCAGCTTTTCTAGGTTGGAAACCTTCATTTCTTCTCGTTATTAATGCTTGGATTCTGTGAAGTTTTCTAAATTTATTCCTTGATGTAAATCGATAGCCCTAACCATTGAACAATGTGTCTACAGTGTCGATGATTTATATTTCGTTGATAACTATGTAAAATACACCAACATAACGAAAACTATTATAGTTTTTTTTTCCAATTTAAGAAATATTCATACGCCGCCATTTAGAATATTTGAAATGTTTTTAGTAATAAATTCAGTGACACAATTTCAACAGCTTCTTCCACTCCTGGCAGAGTTAAAGACATTTCATTTTCATTCTCCAACTCCATTTTCTTTTCAGTAAAATGTTTTTAAAATTATTTTGAAGTCAAAACATTGACTGATATTCAACCCCGTGAAATCTCCCGTATGCTACGTTTATGTTCCACGAAATGTGGCGATACCCATCGATGGCAGCGATCGAAAGAAAGCGGTTCCAGCGCCCCCTTCCAATTTCCTGAACTCTACTGCACAAAAGTTGACAATTGTGGTTGGAAAAAATATGGCTGTATATGTATATAAAATAACCAATGACCCTTTGTTTGAAGCTTGAACTTCAATTTATGAAAGAAGTAAACCACAAGAAGTATACGTGAAACTTGAAAAGCCAGAAAGGGTGCGAATTAAGGATGTGCCAATGTGTTCAAGTGTTTTGATTTTGATGGTATGGTGTGAGAAGGGGTGAAAAGCCGTGCTTCAAAAGGCCCATCCGTAAGTTGTGAAAACAGGGTTAGTACACCGAAGTGGCGATATCAGTTGCAGTGGCCCGTGAATGTATTGGCCACGGTACGGGTGGTCGGGCTCGCTCTAATGGTTGGCCATCAACCTCTTGGAGATTCAGCAATGCCTTAGAGATGTCCAGTGCTGCGGTGGTCAATTCTGTGAAAATGCCGATGTCCCGAACACAATTGTTCCCCGTATCTTCTCATTCATATATTCAGGAAGGCGGCGGCGGAAGCTTGCCACCCCTAAACAAGGGTTCACTCAAAGAACAGAGCCCTCCCGCAGCCTCGACGGCTTCTTCAGCTAATTCGGCAGGTCTTCCTGAACTCTCAGTAGGTGGTTCTTGTGCTTTACAGTGTATGCAATCGCACATGACTAGAGGATCACCTTTAACTCAAGTCAAGACTTCTACACTTCCAATTTCATTTACGGAATGCAAACCCAAGACCATGGTAGCGACACCTGAACAAGTGATGAAATTATACATGAATAAGCTCACTCCTTTTGAACATCACGAAATATTCAATTACCCCCAAATATATTTCATAGGTGCCAATGCGAAAAAAAGACCTGGTGTTGTCGGCAACCCAAATAACAATGATTATGATAATGATCAGGGCTCATATATTCACATTCCACATGATCACGTAGCTTACAGGTATGAGGTTCTGAAAGTTATAGGAAAGGGATCTTTTGGGCAAGTGGTTAAGGCCTATGATCACAAAAATCATATGCATGTGGCCCTCAAAATGGTTCGCAATGAAAAGAGATTTCATCGACAAGCTCAGGAAGAAGTTCGAATTTTGGAACATTTGAGGAAACAGGATAAGGAAAACACTATGAATATTATTCACATGTTAGACTCATTCACTTTTAGAAATCACATGTGCATTACTTTTGAATTACTTTCGATAAACCTATATGAACTCATAAAGAAGAATAAGTTTCAAGGTTTCAGTTTGCAGCTTGTTCGAAAATTCAGTCATTCATTGCTGCAGTGCTTAGATGCTCTTAATAGGAATAAAATTATTCATTGTGATATGAAACCTGAGAATGTACTACTCAAACAACAGGGGAGAAGCGGGCTGAAGGTGAGTACTTTTTTAGTTTAGTTTATTTTTCAGTCATAGGAATAACATATATCCTAGCATATCCCTTAGGGTAATAGTGCTGGTTATCTACTTTTAAACAACCAATGATGCTTTGAATCTCAGGAAAGGTACATGTATTACCAACATTCTTTATGATCACTTGATATATTTGATATTTCTGTCAATTTCATGGAAATTCCATACGATTTCAAGAGATTTCTGAGGATTTTGTGAAAATATTTCACAATTTCCATTGAAATGAAAATTTCAAAAACTTTAAAATAGAGTTATTTGAAATAAGATAAGTAGATAAAAATACAATTCCTGTAACTACTTTAATTCAAATGTTAATAGAGAGGGATCTAGTACCAAACCCTGAGGTATGCCAATATTGAGAATGTGGTTGACCGAGCAAGAGTGTTAGATGGTCATTTACAGTGATAAATTGAGGTCTTTTGAAGAGGTAGGATTTGACCTTTAAATCCATAGAAATTGAGTTCAGCTATTAGGCAGTCTAGGTTGACAGTGTCAAAAACCTTCAACATATCAAATAGGGTACTACTTCTTGGTTGTCAAGGGCCTTGAGGAAGTCTTCCGTTGGACATAATGCAGAGACTACTATGACCTTTACGGAAACCTGACCGATTCAAAGGTAGAATACGCTGTTCTTCACAAAATCTTGTATCTGAGAGATTAAGGCTCGTTCTGCGATTTTCAGGGGTACCAAAGTTAGACCTCTAGGGCAAAGTACACCAAAACCATTTACTTTTGTAGAAGGTTTGTTAGGTATATGTTTGATAACTGATGTTGTCAACTGCTCTGGAAAACAGCTTGTTTCAAAAAATGAATTAGTTATATGTGTCAGGCGTGCTAGGCAAGACTCAATTGAGAGTTGAAGCATTTCACCAGAGATTTTGTCATGTCCTTCAGTATAGAGCTGCTGATTGAGAATTGGTTGGTATTTTCTATCGTCTATGGTGATATCTTTGATAATAATTGATAAATTTTCACAAACATTTTTCGTTTCTAGACGCGTTTCGCTTACACCGTAGCTTCCTTGGTAGAAATGAATATTATACACTTGGCTACAATTCTTATATACAACACTGTTTTATTTAACTAAACGCTAATCATTCTATTAATGGGTTACTTTGAGATTTGCAAAATCAAACATATATATTTGGTTTCAAATGATTTTTCAATTTTTCTTTTTTCTTTTGTTCAATACTAATTTGTCCATTCGTCTTTAAGCTGACTTGTGAAAACAATATAAAGGGTATTCCACATTGTCTTTCATAGGCAATATTTGTGTTATTTGAAAATATTGAGAGGTGATCAAAAAAAATTTGTAAACTAGGCCAAAAGTTCTATTATAAAACATAGAAATGAAGCTGTTAGTGATCACTACGGATAACCTAGTCGCAACATTTTATTTATATCTGTTTTTCCATTAACCATAATAAACGATGCATCACTTTAATCTGAATATGGTAATACGCTGAACACTATGTCTATTTTAAAATGTTAAAAACATAATAAACGACAATTGGAGTGGCAAAAGGCACATAATTGACATTTTTGTTCAACCTAGGGACTGTCACAGAAATCTGGCAACATCCTATGTCAGGTGCATAAGACAACCCTTTCCTTATCTGATAAAATTCCAGTTGACCAATGTAATAAACTTTCACACAGTAACTGATGAAGCTACCGCATAGCGAAACACGTTTTAAATTGAATTTATTGTAAAAATTCTATAATTATTTTCATAGAAGTGTTATTAATTTTCATCAAGTAGCGGGTCAGAGTATTCATAGTTCAATCTTCCTCTTGAAGATGATCACTGGGTGATCGAAACACGTGTCGAGGTGTTGAAAATAACGGATTGGTGTTGGGATATAACTACAGTAATATTCATTTATATGATGCGAAAATTTGTATTTATTATTACGAATATATTCATTAATGACCCTATATATATCCATGTACATCTCATAATAAAAAGATCATCTATGCAGATGATACAAACCAGTTAGTGGCCAAAAAATCGTTCCAATGGTGAGAGAACAATGAATTATCAGTCGGCATCAATGAAACCTGCTTTTTGTTATTTCAATAAAAAATATCAATATTGACTAAAGTCCATCAATAAAAAAGAATCATAAGTCCATAGAACAAGTAAGATATTCTAAATTTCTAGGAATATACTTTTATATGGACCAGAAGCTCACTTGGAATCAAATTGTTTGATCTTTTATGTATGAATATATTTTATTCAATGCATGAGTTTTTGATATTTCGTTCATAATATTATGAGTTTTTTTAAATCCTGTATATTTTTTTATTAAATTGTATTCAACCCCTGAATATTGTGCTTATGCTTTTATTTTTGTTGTTTTTATCTTTCATTTTGTTTATATTTTTTTGTTTTTGTCTTTTTATGAATATAGGCTCACATACTGGATATTGTATCTATCTATCTCTTTATCTATCTATCTATCTGAGAGTGTAGATATATATCTGCCTGGAGAATGTCCACACTTACCTGGAGAAATTCTCAAAAAATGTGTCGAATCATTTCTATGATACCAGAAATTAAGTTATACTGGAAATTCCCTATCACCGATTGAAGAATGCAAGAATGTGATTATTATGGAGCAAGGTTATATTACAATATACCAGACCTCGTAAAAATGGAAATCTGAAAGACATTTCCATCTGACTGAAAAAATTTCTCATAGAAAAATGTTGTCATTCAATAGAATATTTTTTCAATGACTAGTACCTAGTACATTATATACATCTCTTGTAAGTATACAGGGTGTCCCGTAAGACATGGATATAACTCTAAAGGTGTGATAGATGAGGTCATGTCCAATCAAGAAGTTCATATTCCTCACAGTTTTTGACTAATTTTGATTTTCACACAACATTTACATTTTGCCACAATTTTATTTAAAAGTAGGTACATGATTTCTGCTGGCAACAGGGCTTGTACACGCTGGATATGGAAAGATACAATAAGTGTTCTGGGTACATTAGTGTTTCGTGCTAAAAGCTATATACTACTGTCAAGATTTAGGTTCTTTTGGATCGAAGCTCCAGGGTTTTGTAAACGAGAATGAAGCTTCAATACTCAGGATTGTTCATTCTATTCGGGTAGCGAAGTTGATGAACCCTGGCTCCAGTGTCCTAAAGAGAACAAATCTGAAAGTTGAGGAGATGTCATCTATGGGATCGACAGAAGTCTCAGTCCTCGAATATCAAAGATAACCGAGGTCTCTTCATACCAAATGATTTCGGCTGGAGCCTGCAAAGTCATCTGGAGTTTGGATCTTCTCCTCTGCATGGTCCGTGTCTATGGGGTCGGTGCATTTCTCTTTAAGGCAGCTGTCCGAGTCGTCGATGAATTTGGTTTGGTTTTCGACATTAGACGATGTGACTAGAACTCTGTATAAGCCATGGAGTTTTGACAACATTAAAGACCTCAGCTTATCAAAGCTCTTGATCTTTGGTCTCAGGTCAAGTAGGATTAAGTTGGTAACTGAGGAGTTCCTCCTGTCCTGCCAGGTCTCGTGATGGTTATGGAGGTCTCAGCCTATATCCATCTACATAACACAGCACTACCAGTGCTCAATCGTTGGCATTCCTACGGTATTGACAAGATATCGGAGTAGAATTACTCCTTGTTTCGATCTAAATGATAATAATAATATTGAGAGAGAGAGAGAGAGAGAGATATACTTTATTGTCCAAGAAATCAAGTTCTTATTGTCTTTATTGTCTTCAAATACATTTTTTAAGCAAATCAATCGGGTACAATTTGATTGTTATATGAAGACAAAAGGCGAAGTTCAATTTGCATGATAAGTCATCATTCAATTGCTCTTCCACTTAACCTCAAAAACGTCGCCTAGTACGCAAAGAAATAAACAAAAAAGAAAAAATTATCTTAAAATACTATGACTATTTGTAGATTTTTAATAGGTAGGTTGCTATTGGGTCGTTAATAGTTTGAAGATAGTAAGAATCGTTTGAAATTGGTATTGAAACGGTTGAAATCATTTCGTTTCATGGGCTCGGGAAAGTCATTATAAATTGCACAGATCTGGTAGCTGAAACTCCTTCTGAAGAACTCTGTGTGAAAGAGTGGCGGAGTTAGTCGGCCTTTATACCTCACATTAATATTAGTAACATCAGTTCTAAAAGGTTTGCATGAGGGTTTGCTGGCCAAACTTCAATGCTATGACATCAATTCCAGTAAAAAATTCTCAAGGTATGGCGATATAAATAATATTACGGATATCTGTCTCATTGTAAAACATTTACTTGTGTTGAAAATTTATAATTTTGATCAGGACCTTATTATTTAATTTATACTTTGTTATATGATTTGCATATGATTTTCTCATCACTTGATTACTCAATATGATAAATACCCACATCATATGTCTTATGTTCATTTCGGTTAGGTTGATATGATATATACGCTGTCTGTTGAAAAAATAAGGTGAATTTTAATTTTTCCCAAATAATATTTATTTATTTATTCCCCCTCAGATATAATACACTTGTGCTAGCGTTTTTTCTCCACCACTCGAAACAGTTCTGATATACATTTTTTTGGTATATCTTTGATACCTCTCAGTGATTCGGTTTTCATCTCCTCAATCGTCGTAAAACATCAATTTTGGGAATAGATAATAAATTAGATAATAAATCAGATAATAAATGTAGTATCCATGAAATCTTAAATTCTAAAATGTTAAAGCAAGTATTTGAAACAACTGGTCATGCAATCCTCAATTTAATCAATACATCGCTCCAGAATGGTCAATTGCCCGAATTATTAAAAATAAGTACCATTATACCCATACCTTAAGTTACAAACACTATAAAAGCAAGTGAATTTAGACCTATTAATACCTTACAGCCAATAGAGAAAGTTTTAGAAATAGCAGTATATAATCAATTATTAGAGTTTATTGACAAAAATCAAATCATGTTTAGCATTAGCTAAATTTACTAATGAAACAGATGAAGGTAAATATGTTGTAGCTGTCTTTTTAGATTTCGAAAGGGCCTTTGAAACGATTGATAGAAGTATTTTGCTTCAGAAGCTGAGAAGATATGGGCTTGAGGGGGTGGTTTATGAATGGATAAGTAATTATTTATCAAATAGGAAACAGAGAGTATGTGTGAACGATTATTTCTCATCATATATAACAAATCACACTGGAGTGCCACAAGGTAGTGTGCTTGGTCCCCTATTATTCATTCTGTATCTGAATTTATTTTAAGTTAGCTAACCTGTATATTAGGGAATCCTAATTCAATAAATACAAAAATTCAAAGTCGCAGGGTGCCAAATCTGGTGAATACGGTGGCTGAGGAATGATTACGGTGTTGTTTTTGGCCAAAAAATTACGAGTGAGCAGGTTCATTACCGTGATGCAAAAGCCATGAATTGTTTTTCCACAATATCGAACGTTTTCTTCCTATAGCTTGTGGCAAGAACTCGCGATTCACTACGACACGGTAATGGAAAAATATAGTGAGCAAAACTTTGACATTTGATCGAACTTGTGGTGCATTTTTTGGTCCTGGCTCTCCTGGGCTCTTCCATTGGCGAGATTGGACTTTGGTTTCGATGTTATAACCATATACCCAGTTATTACCCTTTTAAGGAAATCTGGATCGCCGTTGACGTCATTCAACAATTCTTGAGCGATGCTTATACTCGGTTTTTGTAGTTGAAATTCAACAATTTTAAAACGAACTTCGCTGCCACACGCTTCATGTTCAAAATTTCTGAAAAAATTGCATGGCATGAGCCTACCGATATGCCGACATCCTCAGCATCTTCTCTAAAAGTGTATTTCTTGTTTCAGGTGATAGATTTTGGTTCTTCATGCTACGAGCAAAATCGTGTCTACACTTATATACAATCCAGGTTTTACAGAGCCCCTGAAGTGATTTTAGGAGCTCGTTATGGCATGCCAATCGACATGTGGTCTTTGGGTTGTATTTTAGCAGAACTTCTGACTGGATTTCCCCTTTTACCAGGCGAAGACGAAGCTGATCAATTAGCGTGTATTATGGAGCTGCTAGGACTTCCTCCACAACGATTACTGGACCAATCTAAACGAGCAAAAAATTTCATCAGTTCGAAAGGTATTCCCCGTTACTGCACCTGTTCAACATTGCCAGATGGAACGGTGGTCTTGAGTGGAGGTTTAAGTAGAAGGGGTAAGCCTCGCGGTCCACCAGGTTCTAAGGATTTGAAACGGGCTCTGAAAGGTTGTGACGATCCCCTGTTTCTTGATTTCATACAACGATGCTTGGAGTGGGATCCAGATGCCAGAATGACACCCAGTTCGGCCTTGCGACATGGATGGCTGAGAAGACGATTACCTAGACCGCCTAATGAAAAGGAGCAGAGTAGTGCCGGTGTAGCCAGGTCTACGCCTACAGGTCCTCGTACTCCCAAGTCTAGTGGTGGTAGCACCACCAGCACACTATTTTCAAATAATCGTGTTCAACTTAGCGACGATAGATCTTCAACTCTTCATTCAGGAAAATTGCCCCCTGTCACGTAGCCAAACGTAATGCTTCCATAGTGCCCTCAATCAGGTTAGAATTACATTTAGGATCATATTTAAGTGTGTACATACATATACTCAATATACTAGCCGGCATGTTTTGAACAAGGTTTTGATATTTATAGATTTTTCTATAAATGCTAGCTGAGAGAATGTGAGGTTTGACATATCTTCAAAAGATATATTTAAAATTAAGTAGGTGCTCTTTGATATTGTTGATGAATATATTCTGGTTAGTATATATTATATATGTATATGTTTTATCATCCTGTGTTCTATGCAAGCCAATTGGCCTTGTTCATTATTCCAAAAAGGTGTTATTTTGACTTTTGAGTAATCATTGAAGTGTCACTCAGCGTCCTGAATGAACAAGCCTTATTTGTTGATCTGAATAATCAACAGGCTGAAGTCTCATGTTTCATATCATAAATGAGTCTTGTTTGTAATGACTAACCTTTTGATTGGTGTTTTGAATGAGTCCTTAGATTTTGGCTAAGATTTTTGAATGAGTGTCTGAGAGGAACTCAGTATTTTGAAAAGTGTGCAAAACATGAAATTTCCACAGGTTCTCATTCAATATCGGATATAATTTACCCGTTGTGTGTTACGTAAACCAATGTTAATTCGTCCTATTTATTTTTTATCTGGTTTATTTCAAATCTCATGCAAAAAAGACATGTGCAATAGCAATATTTAAATGTTTGTGAGAAAATTTTTGTTGTTTTGTGTAATTGTTTGATTTTTCTGAAGAATATTCAGGATTTACATTAATTTCATATACGTTTCAATTATAATGGATTTTGATGTTTACATGGGAACTATGTTTATACTTACATCATTTCAGCCGCCGTATTTCCTCTTTTTTATTTCCATTTTATTTTTTGACAGTTTGATAGTATATCTTGGCAAGGAAATCCATCCACAGAACCCAATACACAATGGGTATCAGAAATACAAATTATTCTGCTGACATTAATTCTTTTCATTTCAGATCAATACATAATTCAAATTGACTTCATTTTATTGANAATTGTAATATGCAAATTTTGTTGGAATTTATTTGTTGTGAAGTCATCATACTAATTTCTTTACTCCTGACTAGATATTTTTGGGACAAAATGACACTTTACCATGTGATCTAAATGTACAGTGTCCCTCCTGCCTATGTACAGATAGTGCCTCTAGCAATCAAATTACTATTTTTAAGTTGCACCTATAGGTTTAATTGAATTCTGTAAATATAATTTAAGGAATTGACTTGCTGAATTTTGTTTCAGCTTTGACTGACACTGGTCTTGTGGTTGCCTCATACTGTATAATCAATCACATTGTGTTTAAACCTCAATTTTTTAGTACTGACCACTCTCAGTTTACTCGGTTTATGTTGATGATAATTTTTGCAAATAACATTACCAAACCGAATATCTCTACGGTTTTGAACTAGTGTGCACTGATCATATATACATTTTTGTGGTTTTGTGATTTCAATCACCCAGGGTTGCCAAAAAAGAAACGGAATCATTATGAGATACTCTTTTACCATTTTAGAAAAATTCAAGGGCACATCGATTGAGAGGGGTCCTCTTTTGCTGTATTTATGAAACTTGCAACTCTCACCTCCAAGACTCACCAAAAACTATTTTGGTGTTTGAGGTTCTAATGGGATGACATGAATAATATATCTTTTTAATAAATAATCGTGTTCCCAAGTTTTTTCTGAAATGGCGACTCAATTCCTGATAACATCTCCATTTTTCATTATTCTCATACACCACAAGATGATAAGGCAAAACGGTCAAGCTGAGCTCACATATGCCAATATTACAGATTCACTTTGATATTCATGAACAACTTCCTACTTTACAAAATTTCGAACAATATTAAACAAACAACATGAAGTTTGAACATGTCAATACTCACTTTTTCTCTACTTTGCCTCTAGTTCTGTAGAGGCAAATTAATGATTCTAGAGCAAACATTTTCAAAAGCTTGACTGTGCAGGTTTTGTATTATTTTCAATAGTTCATACAATCTAGGAGCTGGTGTTGACCCTTTTTTATCCTGGAAAATTTATCAATCTCATTGTTGAAAAAAAAATGCACCACCGAAATGGTATCTGTGGCAAAGGGAGGAAAGATTCCCAAACAACACATGAAAATCCAATGGATATGTCTTATGGACGTCCTGAGGCCACCAACCTGGAAGGCCATAAAGTGTCATACATTTTTTTATATATTATGGATGTCCATAGGTTATCCATTGAAGGATATCCATTCTTAGTCCACTGTGGAATATTTTACGGATATGTCATATCATACGGATGGTAATATTTTTTGAAAATCACGTTATACATGTACTACTTTTTCTCTACTTTGCCTTCAGGAAAGTAGTTATGATTCTATGGCAAACATTTTCAGATGCATTACAGTATAGGTTTTGTATTATTTCAGTAGTTCAGACAATCTAGGACTGATGTTGATTTTTTTTCATCCTGGAAATTTTATTATCTTCATTATCTGGCAGATATCCAAATATGTCCAAAATATATCTTATGTACGTCCATGAAATATCTTATATTTTTGATATCTCATGGATATCCATAGGTTATCCACTGAAGGATATTCATTCCAAGTCCACTATGGGATATCTTATGGACATCCATTTCATGTCCAAAGATATGTCAACCAGAATTTGATATTCATAGGATATTGGGTTACTGCTCTTCTACCATTGTATTAACACTATTGAATATATACATAAAACCTAAATATTTTGAGTGATAGTAACACCAACTGCTTAAGTGTCAGCTATAGTAAACTTTTTGAATATCTTCACAATTCTAACAATGTGTAATACTAAAGAGTGGTCAGTAATGATCAATTGAAAGAAAATTGGGCACTTATTTTGAAGTGTGTGAATACTATATTATAATTTAAGGTAATTTTTGACTGAGAATATTAGGTATATCTCAAAAACGCACATACTTTACTTCTTTATGCTCATTTAGCTAATCTCATATGTTTCTGTGACATCTTTCATCTCTTTAATTTATTACAAGTCATCAGTATGTGATAACTTAGCCTAGATTTTATTCAAACGATTTCATATTGTTTTGGGGGCATTTAATACAAATAAACTGCACAAGTTTCAAGTAATAATGCATGTACTGAAACAGAACTACAATTTCTAGTTTACAAAATTTTAGATGTGTGTATCTAATATATGTAAAATGCTGCCTGAATATTCAAATAACTACAATATCTTGCATGAGTTATGCTAGGAGAAAAATCCTCCCACTGGCATATAACAGTTTGAAGACAACGACTGTTAGAAAAATTCTTGATAAATATATGAAGGCCTGGATAATTGTTAAATATAAATGAAGTGTGAAAATTTTCAAGAAATTTGCATCCATACGTCTAGGGTTTTGAAGTTACTGTCAAAGTGATACATACATTTTTATGAATGAACATTTTTTGTACAGTTGAAAATGTTGCCTTTTGTGAAAAACTTGAAATGAGACTTCAGTTTATGTTATGTTTTCAATACAAACTAATCAAATGAACTCTATTCAGAAAATATATACAATATATAAAGCCTATTGTTGAATCTGAATAAAACACACTGAACTGATGTCACATTAGTTTTTGTGAAAAATCGGCAATTAATGCGTGCTTGCCTGTTTATTGTTATGAATAATCCTCGAAAAGTAATAATTTTCATCAGAGGGCATAGTTTAGGATCAAAACTAGGTCAGTAGAGACATATTTTGAACACCTGGTATTGAGTACTTGTTATTTTGTCTACACATGAATTTTTGACCCTCAAATATAAGGCAATTGCTCCAAACTCTTGTGATTGACCCTCAAATATAAGGCAATTGCTCCAAACTCTTGTGATTTAATTAAGGGATTCATTGTATGAGGATTTTAATAAGATGTTGAATAATAATTTGGTGGAATTTGTCTAACAGAAATACATATAATGAAAGAATGTCTTTAGAGAAGTATAATTGTAATATGCAAATTTTGTTGGAATTTATTTGTTGTGAAGTCATCATACTAATTTCTTTACTCCTGACTAGATATTTTTGGGACAAAATGACACTTTACCATGTGATCTAAATGTACAGTGTCCCTCCTGCCTATGTACAGATAGTGCCTCTAGCAATCAAATTACTATTTTTAAGTTGCACCTATAGGTTTAATTGAATTCTGTAAATATAATTTAAGGAATTGACTTGCTGAATTTTGTTTCAGCTTTGACTGACACTGGTCTTGTGGTTGCCTCATACTGTATAATCAATCACATTGTGTTTAAACCTCAATTTTTTAGTACTGACCACTCTCAGTTTACTCGGTTTATGTTGATGATAATTTTTGCAAATAACATTACCAAACCGAATATCTCTACGGTTTTGAACTAGTGTGCACTGATCATATATACATTTTTGTGGTTTTGTGATTTCAATCACCCAGGGTTGCCAAAA